CCTGCTTCTAAAAAATTTTATTCACCTAACCTCTGTTATTTTAGCTTATTTTACATAGCATTGTAACTATTTGTTTATGATTCTATCTTTATCTTACAAAGAGAGCTCCTTAATTTAGGAAGAATATCTTATTTTTATATCAATACCACATAGAAGAGTGCTAGCTCAGAGTTTCAGCTGAATCAAAAATCTTCGTTGAGATGTGATACAAAGAAATAAGATTCAGGTTCAGATGTTTGAAATTCAGTCCAGATTTCATTACTGAGCTCTAGACCTATGTATCTAAACCACCTGTGCAATATTATTATTACATTCATCATTATACATATAATCATAAAACATAATGATGACTGTATCAAGTTTACAGGCCATTTATCATGCGTTATTGAATTAATCCCTATAATAATTCTGTGAAGGAAGCATCTGTAAAAGAAGCATCTGCACTGTATTGATGAGAATCCTGAAATGGAGGCATGCTCAATGTCTCATAGCTAGCAAGTGCTGGAGCCAGAGCTGCAACTGAGCGCTTGTGACTCTAAGTCCTAAGCTTTCCATCTTTCCTTTGTTTAATACAAGGAGTCTCAATGTCATCAATCTTGATGTTTGGGTTAAAAAATTATTTGCAGTGGGGCTGCATGCTTGGCCTCTATCCACCAGATACCAGTAGCATCTTCTAATCCATTGTGACTATCAAAATGTCTCTAGATATTGCCAAAGGTCCTCCTGGGGAAAAATCAGTTCTAGCTGAGACTCAACAGTATAGCAACAGGCACAATGTGGTAAACGTTCTGGAATAGGCATAAGCAAAATTAGGGAAAATGACAGGGACCTCCTACACAGTGGAGGCAGCATTTGATTTGAATCTTTACTCTAGAAAAATTGAATTGACCTGGTAGGATTTACTTTGATGAGAAAGAATACCAAATATTTGTAGAGCATGAACGATGTGTCAAATTTAACTCTAAGGGGGGAAATACAATAAAAGCATTGTTAAAATGAAACACCATCTTAAAGTCCATCTAGTGGAACATAGAGCAATTTGGGACCACTCACTCTCATGCTTTGCATTTAACAGCTAGATTTATCATATTATCTACTAAAGATTCCTTAGAAAAGAATTGCCTCCTATTTATTCTTGGAGCTTAGTAATCTATAAATCAGTCTTAATCATCATTTAATTGTACTGTACATGGAAATTGTGTTTTCTAGTAACTTTCTGGCTCATTGGGAATGTTAAAGAAAAAGATTGAGCTTGCATGTGTTTGGATGAATGGAAAGGAAGGAAAGCTTACCTTCAGCTCTTTTCATCTAGCCAGTGCTCTTGGACCTACGTGGAAACAACTAATTCTCCGGCTTGGTTTGTTTGGTGAACATAAAACAGCTAGGCTAAATCTTCTACTTCCCTTTTATTTAGAAAACTGAAAGAGATTCTGATATCTCTAAAATAATGTGCTCTCCTTCCTCAATACAACTTTAGAAAGTGTATTGCAGTTGGTATACAGACAGTCTATGACATATGATGATTTGACTTAACAATTTTTCAACTTATGATGAGTTTATCAGGGGATTAACCTCATTATAAATCAAGAAGCATTTGTACTTTTTGAGCTCTAGGAGTCAGATAGGCCTGCCTTGAGAGGCAGAGAGGCATAGTCACAGTAGTTGTATGGGGAAAATTGTTTAACATCTGTGAAACTCAGTCTTTCTCAACTATAAAATTGGATAATAATTTCCACTTAAATCTTGTGTGAGAATTAAGTAATAAAATCAAAACTTTAAATGTGGGGCTTGGCACAAACCAATATAAATGGTTGTTATCATTATCATCATCTCATTATCTTAATGATTTTCAAATTATACCTCCTTCTCTAATGCCTGCTCTATAAATAAAATGATATTGGCCACTTGCACAAGTTGGAAAACTGAGATCAGTTTTGACCACTGTGTCCCCCAGCAGCAATCAGTCAGTAAGAGCTGTGGTTCTTTCTGTCCCATATAGTTAGTTCTAAAGTAACTCACTTACCTACATTTCTACTCTTGGGGCCATGATTACAGTCACCATAATATCTTACCTGGTCTCCAGCCTCCTTCTTTCAGTTTTATTGCTTCCACTCATTTCGTTCTCCATACTGAAGCAAGAAGACCTTTGTAGAATGAAAGTCTGATCATGCCACTCCCCAATGCTCTCAGAACAAAGTTCAAACACCTTATTGGCATGCAAATATGAAGGAAGGTATCTTTCATATTTTGGTTACTCCCCTTTCCAGTTGCATCACTTGACATTGACTCCTCATATATTATGCAGTAGCCATGATGAGGTTTTTGAATTTTTCAGGTGGAATTTATTCTCTCTCTTAACACCAGACCTATGCACATGCCGTTGACTCTCCCTAAATCATCTTCCTTCTTCCCACCCCGTGCAAAGAATAGAGGCTTACATTTATTTACTCATACCTTATGAGGGCTGCCCCAAAGTTAATTACAGAACTGAGTTAATTGAGAAGATGTTAAAATTGTGCCTCTTCTTTTAGGCTGGTTTCCCATTAATGGTAGAAGCATTAGGTCAGAGATTTTAGAGACTTTAGCCCTAGTATGCAGTATGTCAAAAACTCACTTTGTGACACTGTCAAATCTTTTAGCTTTTCTGGGTCTCACTTTCCTCACTCCTGCTTTCCTATTATAGCATACCTGTGTAGATTCAAAGAGGTTATAAGAATGATTTACTTATTAAAAATGTGAAAATGTATGACATAGGTTTTCAATCGCACCTTTTGTCATCTCACTCAACCCCCTATTAATTGGAGCACCCACTCCTTTGAGTTTATTGCCCTTTCTCTCGGCCTCCTTGGCTAAATTCTATCCCTATTTAGGATTGGGCTTAGACTCTGTAATTTCCAGGATGCTTTTTCCAAACCCTTGAAGCTGGACTGAGTGCCTTACTTATTAATCTCATAGAACCCTCTCCTTTTCCCAAAACAACAGCAAAAACAACAAAAATCTTATCAACTATATTGCCATCTTAGAACTTGTCTTCTTTCTTAGAGAGTGAATTACTTCAACTTATTTTAAGTATCTCTTTGTCACTAAAGATGATATCTGTATATTGGCAGACAGACCTGAAAGGGAAGTGTTCTATTTGGAGAAGTTTTCTTAGAATGACAGAGTTTTGGTTATGAATTGCCCATTGTTTCATGGACCACCATATATGTAACACAATACATTCATTTCCATGAAGAAAGTTTCTTTTTTTAAAAATAAATCCAGTGTTGCACACATCATTATTCTGAATTAACTATGCGTCTGAAAAGGAAATTGATTTCCCCAAGATCTTATTAGTAGGAACTGTGTTTTGATAGGGTCTTATTCTTCTAATTTCTAATGCAAACTTCAGTGATCTGAGTACTGCACTCTCCCACAGAAATAAGTTATATAAATACATGTATAACTGATGGGTAATTAAAATATGGGTAATTGAGGTTGTTTATGTGTTGGTGTGCGGATGCAATTCCATGCCCAGTTTTATTTTAAAGATCAAGTCTATTCAAATCTGCTGGAATGAAACTGTTAAAATAGGGACTCCATTTTGCAAGTACAGTTCCGGGCATGGCATTTCAGAAAGTATGTTTTGTTGTTAGCCTTTTTACAAAGCCACCACATCCTGGTGGATGCTGAGACAAAGTTGGGGTCTTCTCAGGGCTGAGTAGGCAGCACACGCCACAAGAGGAAAAGGGGGCTGTTTTGTCGTGTCAGCCTCAACACACTCCTGGGCTCCTCAGAGGCAGAATTTTAGTCACTGGTGATGAAGGCAGGGATAATAAGTCTAAAGACACAAGCGGGATCTCCCAGGATAGGCTGAGGGCTAGTTTCTAGGGCTAGAAGGAAGGTATTCATATCTTGCTCAGTGATGCCAGGAGCCCTGCAGAGAAACTTCATGAGCTGTCACAGAGGAAGAGGAAAGAGTTAATGAGGCCTCCTCCCCCTCATTCCCCTGCTCTTTAATCTCAGGACTGTCAGTATATCTTTTCTCATATTGGGGTTTCTCTTGTTTGAATTTAAATATAATTTGAAATGCACAAGATCTTTTCCATTATTATTATTATTATTATTTTTTTTTTTTGAGACGGAGTTTCGTTCTTGTTACCCAGGCTGGAGTGCAACGGCGCGATCTTGGCTCACCGCAACCTCTGCCTCCTGGGTTCGGGTAATTCTCCTGCCTCAGCCTCCTGAGTAGCTGGGATTACAGGCACGCGCCACCATGCCCAGCTAATTTTTTGTATCTTTAGTAGAGACAGGGTTTCACCATGTTGACCAGGATGGTCTCGATATCTTGACCTCGTGATCCACCCGCCTCGGCCTCCCAAAGTGCTGGGATTACAGGCTTGAGCCACCGCGCCCGGCCCTTTTCCATTATTTTAAACTTGAATAATGAAGTTTATCAAAATGAGAGATATTGTTGAAATGCATGTATCAAGAAAAAAATTATTTTTAGGTAGTGCTTTAGCATTATGTCATATATAAGAATGCATGCTGAATGTAACAGCAGAATTTAATTCAAAAAATGAGGAAGATGATATGCCTACTCATCTTCCTATTGTGAAATCACCTCATCTCTCAACTAACATACTTCATAGATAGTGATTCTATGGATGATAAGACTAACTCGGTTAATTCTTACTCACAATTTGGGCTTCTTTATGGGTTCAGGAGTATGTGTGTCTGTGTATGTTTTGGTTCCTCTGAAATTTCCAGTAGAATTTCCAGTGAATTGAATCTCTCCATCCTGAATATCAAGTTCTGCTGTCCTCATTTCCAGTGATGGTTTGCAATGCAAATCACTGGGTTGGTAACACACAGTGCCATAACCATGGTAACAAAATGAAGACAAGTTTGCTTTACTTCCTTAGTGAAGTGCATTCCAGTCCTGCATTCAGACCTGCCAACAGGTCAAAGGGCATTAAAGGAACAGCAAGAGGTTTCATAGAAATAAAAGCACAACTGAACCCATTGTATTCATTCCCCATGCACTCTTCCTTTGAGTCTAGGAGTTGTTACTAATAACTCCTGCCATTCCTAATGATGTTTTTACTGCTTTCTTTCTTGTAGAGAAGCGGGTAGAGAGAATCAATTTGTATCTTTACCCTCAACTTGACCATGGCTTTTGGCAAATAGACTCTCTTGGCTTTCTATGACCAACTTTTAAATAGGAGCAGATAGACACTTGGGTCACAGTTCTGTGGTGACAAGGGCTTTGTAGTCAGCTGCTGGAACATTCAAGGAGACAAAAAGGCACACAAGACTTTCACACATACTTTGATGCTAACTACAGCAAGTTGCAAGGCCATTTCTCTGCTGAGACTTCTTTATTCTGGTACAGTAACTTATAATTTGTTTGTTTGTTTGTTTGTTTTTGATCCAGCCTGTGGGGGAGGGGTATTAGCTCTCTGCTTTCATTTTCTCTCAGTTGGAATGAAAGGGCAGCGATGGCATGTTCTGAAACTTCTTTACCTGCAGCTGTGTGACTGGGTGATTCCTAGGAAGAAAAACTATTAGCAAGAAGATGAAGTGATCTAATTGTCATGGATTCGGGCCTGGATGATTTCATTTACCCCCAGGACTGCCTAGGTGGCTGCCATTAACATGGAAAGGTCTAAAACACAGGGGATGAAAATGCTTTAGGCTCAAAATTGCTCCATTATAGCCTCTATGTTCTGAATACTAGTTCAAGCAATGTTTCTGAGGAGTGATGCAGGAATTATATATTCCCTCTTTTTATTGCTATTATTTGTACTTAGGACTTTTTTTTTTTTTGTCTTTCTTGCTTACCTGACGGAGGCTTAATTCATTAAGAAAAAGCTAAAGAAATGAACTCTCTCATTTTTAATTAATCAGTGAATTGACTCTATATGAAAACTGAACTTGATGTACTGGAGCTATGTAGGATTTACCCACCATGGAAATAAAAATGTCTCCTTTTGACAGAATGGAGAAAGCTGACTGGATAGAGTTGCCAAATAAAATTTAGGCTGCCCAGTGACTTTTGAGTTTTAGATTGATAGCATATCTGGGGGTGTATAAGCATGTCCCAAATAATGGGGCACTATTATAAACAGGTCACAGTTATGCCCCTAAGTGTATTTTTTTTATCTGAAATTCACATGTAACCACGTTTTATTTCTATTTGCTAAGATATTTTAATTAAAAGATGAAAACTGAAGGTTATGAGAAAAATCATTCATTTTACCCTGTAAACTTTCACTGTAATTTTTCATTAACAACTTACCTAATTATCATTGTCTTATTGTACATAATTGGGAAATGATATAATACTGAGGTTCAAACCTTAACAAAAAGGAAGCAATAGTCCTAATAATTATAACAAGTCCAGAGTTCATTACTTGTTTCATAATGGAAACACATAAGAGTTTTTCTTAATCAGTTTCCCAACTAGCTATTGAAACTGATTGTGATTATGATAACATGTAGAATCTATATCTGCTACTTAGGGCACCAGAGTGCTGCCTGAGTAGCCTTACTCAGAACTTCTCTATAAGTACTGTTCAAGTGGGCATCCAACTTTCTGGGAGATACTGATCTTTTGTCTTTTGGGGCTGCCTCAGGAGCAGGGCGGGTCATCTTCCAGAGCAGGCTCCTCTGGGACTCTAGAGAGAGCCCAGGTGGAGCTGGGTGCAGAGCTGCTCTGCACATCTGAAAAGCTGGAAAGCACTGACCAAAATATCAGAGTACTATTTAGGCATGTTGGAAATCCTGCAGAGTTTGCATAGTTACAAGATGATTTCCATATACTACAAAGGTAAATCAAACAAGTTGATAAATTTTAGGAAGAAGGAAATAATATAGAGAAAATAACATTTTCTTTGATGATACTTAGAATTATACCACAGAGTACAAAAGAAAATATTTTTAAGTGTATCCAATCTGATTATAAAAATAATTCATAAACGTAATAGAAGATTATTAAGGAGCATATGAGGAAGTGTTATGTTTTTTGTTGTTATGGTTTCTATCTAATTTGGTTCTGAGTTCTCTCTCTTGAGTGACAATAAGCCAAGATAGCCGCTTTTCAGGAGATTGTTGACTGGGGGAGCATTAGGTTTGGGTGTGTCAGTCAGGTGAGACACATGAAGCCGTAAAAATAAAATGCATGAAATGGAAGAAATGTATTAGTCACAAGTCCCCAGCTAGGGATGCTGACAGGAGGCCTACAGGAAGCCCCCAGGGAGCTCAATCAGTAGAAGAGAGCAAGAGAGAGAGAGAAAGAGAGAGAGGGAGTCTGTGGATCTTTATTAAGATCCATGGATGTTATTCTCTAGGCTTTCCCATAGGGTTGTGGATTGGCTAGTTTGAAGAAAACACACACAAAATGGAAAGCTTATTTACATGACTTTGATGTTGATCATTAGGTTTTATCTTGGCAGCTGTGGGGTGTGTTGGATTTGGGGTCAGTGAGATGAGGAACAAGTGGGCTACAATTGCAAACAACCACATAAGGAGAAGTTTTAACTGAGCTGAAGGTAATAGAGTATTACTGCATTTTAAACACTTATATCAGGCCTAAAAATGGATGGCAGAGGAGTAATATATTAAACAAATTTATGACAGGAAGAAAATAATCATCCCAATCCACCAAGAAAAGTTCCCTGCTGGCATTCTGAACTAATTCCTTTCCATTTGGAGATAATATGTTATATATGTGAGTTTGTAACATGTTTATTTTATTTTGCTGTATGTTTGCTTATTGTATCATGAACATTTTCCAGTGACATTGAAGTTTATAGTAACAACAGTTTTAATATTGGGTATTTGAATATTTAAAACTGAATAATTCTGCATTAAAAAAGAAAAGAAATTGAAAAGAAAAAGCATTATTTTCTGTTTGTTATGTTGTCCATTAATAAGGACAGTTTTATTTCTTCCTTTCTAATTGTGTTTCTTTTCTTGCTTTATTGATCTAACTAGGACATTCTGAAAAAAGTTGAATGGAAATGAGAGCAAACATCCTTGTGTCATTTGTGATTTGAGGAGGAAGTACTCAGTCTTACATTGTTAGGTATGATATTAGCTGCAGGATTTTTCCAGATACCCTTGCAGTTTGAAGAAGTATTTCTATTCCTAGCTTGTTAAGAGTTTTTGATCATGAATGTGTGTGAATTTTGTCAAATCCCTTTTCTGCATCTGCTAAGTGATCACATGGCTTTTCTCCTTTATTCTGTCATTATGGTGAATTTTGTTCATTGATTTGTTAAAGTGTTTAATGCTTTATGAGAAATGAACTTGCAGAGTAGAAAGGGTGAGGAAAAAGAAAACAGAAAAATGCCAAACAGATACAAGATGATGTTTTAGTAAGCTGGCCAAGCAAGTTGGTTACTTCACAGACATGTACTAGTTGTTCAGCCATTTACAACATCTCTGCACAGATGTTTTAATAATAAACCAGTTTCACATTTGTGAAGCAAACCCTGCTTGGGTTATCCATTTTACATATGGCTGGATTTATTTGCTAGTATTTTGTTAAAGATTTTTGTATCTATGTTTATTAAGAATATTGATTTATAATTTGTTTTCTTGAAATGCCTTTATCAGGTTTTGGTTTCAGAGTTATACAAGGAATTGAAAAGATTTTTTTTTTTTTTTACATTCAGAAAAAAAATTGTATCACATTGGTGTTATTTCTTCTTTAAATTTTTGGTAAAATTCATCTCTAAAGGCATCTGTGCCCAGGGTTTCTCTATGAGAAGGATTTTAATTCCAAATTCAATTTCTTCAATGGATACAAAGCTCTTAAAAAATCATTTTTTTCCTCATGTTAATTTTAGTCCGTTGAGTTTTCAAAAAACATTGTCAATTTATCTCTTCATCAAATGTATTGTCATGAAGTTTCTTGATAACATGTTTACATTTGTTAACACTCACAGAATCTGTTGTGATAGCTTCCTGTTCTTTTTATCAATTGATATAAAATGATTTTATCAATTGTTTGAAACTTTTAAAGAAATGACAGTTGACTTTTAGAATTACTTTATCTGTTTTAACATTTTATTGATCTTTACACTTTTTAAATTTTTGAATTTAATTTTTTTGTTTCCCTGTCTTCCTAAAATAGAGGCAGAGTCATTTATTTTCTAAATATATGAATTTTAAACTGCATTTTCTCTAATTACTTACTCTGCATTCTACACATTTTGATTTATTGTATTTTCTTTATATTTTAGTTCAAATATTTAAAAATTTTTTTTCCTATGATTTCTTCTTTGACCCACTGGTCATTTAAAATGTTATGGTTAAATGTCCAAATACGTGAGAACTGTTTAGGTACTTTATTATTAAGGGTTTCTAATTTAAGGATGTTTTATCTGAATATATGATCTGTATAATTTTGATCTTTTTACATTTATTAATATGTGTTTTGTGGCCCAGTATATGGTCTAGGTCAGGGGTCTCGCACCCCCAGGCTGTGGATCAGTATTAGTTCCTGGCCTGCTAGGAACCAGGCCACACAGCAGAAGGTGAGTGGCAGGTGAGCAAGCATTGTTGCCTGGGCTCTGCCTCCTGTCAGATCAGCCATGGCATCAGATTCTCATAGGAGTGTGAACCCTATTGTGAACTGCATATGCAAGGGATCTAAGTTGTGTGCTTTTTATGAAACTCTAATGCCTGATAATCTGAGCTGGAATAATTTCATCCTCAAACCATTCCCTGCCACCTCCACATTCCTCCTTCCATTGGAAAAACCGTTTTCCACCAAATCAGTCCCTGGTGCCAAAAAGGTTGGGGATCGCTGGTCTGGGTGAATGTCCCATGTGCATTTGGGAAGAATTTGTATTTTGCTTGGTGGAGTGTTTGGTTAAAATGCCCATGAGGACAAATCTTTTATATTCTTTCTGAATTTCTGTCTACTTTTCATGTTTATCAGGAGAGATGCTAAATCTCCAGCTGTGAATTAGATTTGTCTGCTTCTTTAGTCTTGTCAATATTTGCTTCATGTCATTGGGAACTATTTTATTGTATTTTCATTTAAGATTGAGGCTTCTTGATTTGACTTTTATTATGATAAAATTTCTTCTTTACTCTGCTAATAGTTTTTGTCTTGAAACCTCCTTTATCTGATATTAATGTAGCTCTATCAGTTTTCTGCTTAGTGTTTGCATGTTAAATTTTTTCTGTCCTTTTACTTTCAACCTCTCTCTGTTTCTATATATTTAAAGTTCATTACTGTAAGCAACGTACAATTTTTTTTTTCTATCCAGTTTGACCATCTCTATCTTGTAGTTGGGCGTTTGTCCCAGGCACATTTAATGTAATTATTGACATGTTTTGTTAAAATGCTACCCTGTTGGAATTTGCTTTCTA